AGTCGAGCGATATAAATACGTAAAGGAGGAAGAGAAAAAGGGGGAGAAAGTATACGGATAAAAGAACATCTCAAGGAGAATTTCGCTGTTCATATTTTACCAATGCAACAAGAAATTTGCATACATTATAATACTCTTACGATGTTTTTGCCTTCTCGGGCAGTGTTGATCTTGCAGATTTCATATTTCACAAGCGAGCACAAATTTGATATTCTCCCTGGACCGTTAATTATACACAACCGCAAAGAGTAATTACTTTTACACACACACACACACACACACACACACACACACACACACACACACACACACACACACACACGTATAGTGCTGTAATTACTCTTTACTTTGTTATATTTTTATTTAGCAATTATGATATCTGTATATCACAATTTTTTTTACATTATATAATGATTGCATATGTCTTCAGTTACGAAGAAAAAAGTGGAATGCACATAAAACGTGTTTCGTAATGTCTCATATTTTTGCGTTTATGCAATATAACTGTTTATGCAATATAAAGATACATCTTGTCGAGAAAATATGTCCAGTGTATCGCTTGTATATTTAAATACAGAGAGAAACCAAAAATTTTTATCAATAATACATGCGAAACACATCAACATTACATGTTTCGTGAATTTTTGAAAAGAGCATATTAAATATTTATTAAATTTTTTTGTAACTCGAAATGCAACATTATAGTAATAATAAAATACAGGGAAAAAGGGATGTATAAGGAATATGTAACGAAAGTATGAGATAATAATAGATATAAACAAACTATAAAATTATAGAATTTCCGTACTGTGAGTAATTGTTGTTTATATTTTTCACATAATCACATGTGTGTATTTCTCCTTTTGAAAACCTTGCCTTCTATTCGATTGCTCTTTCCACTATCAGATCTCCTGGCGGCAATACTCGAGGTTTCATGTGTACCACTTGTGCGGTTTCTCATTTCAACCGATCTTTAGATACATGCACGCTCGAATTGTTGCAAGCATTCTAGATATTTTCCTTCCACTTCTATAATATATAAAAAGTGGTTTTCTTGTTACATATAAATTTATCTGAATCTGTTACATGACGATATAAAAGATAAAAAAATTATTAGTCTGATTCGAAAGCATTGAGTATTTTAATATTTATAATGACTACTAAAAAAATTTGTATCATGCAAATTTAGAAATAAAAAATGAGAAAGAGATGTACAATATTTTTAATGGGAGGGAAGGGATTTAATTTTCGAATTATATTTTCGAAATAATCGTAATCAATTTGATTAAATATACTTTTTTCAGTGAAATCGCTTTCGGAGTTACAAGCGTTTAAACACGATTTATTTATTTTGAAAGATGTGCTGTGTTATATTTTTCTTTTTCTAATTTTATTAAATACTCAAAAATAGAATGTTTGTTTTTATTATAGCGTAACGAGTTTACTGTTTCAGACCCAATGTTTTCCTCTCTATTAGCAGTACTGCTGTACTTGTTGATATTGGACATGAATTACGCGTATTGTATAAATCTGCATACATTTTGACGTTTGTTGCTTTTGCTTTATTGCAAGCTTATAACGCGTAAGACTAATGAAACTGGTGGGACTTCATTAAATATGTATTGAAATTAACGAGGCGATAATGAACAAATATCGCATTATTAGCAATAACGATGTTGAGAATATTATGCAACTAACTTGCGTATTTTGTTAATAATTATTTCGCGCTTATCAATGCTGGCATTAGCGAGTGAATGTGAACTTTCTGTGTCTACTTTCAATAAAGGATGTGACTTTATACTATTCCAAATTTATAATTATTAACCAAGTGAGAATATATGTCACATTTTAACAGGGTATAAATTATAGGCTTATTTCCAGCATCAAATTCGAAATCACAACGATATAGAGAAAATTTCGAGAGAAAAATTATTTCATATTCTCTTTTCCGCTGTTTCGCTTTCAATCGCATCTTATCGATGTTTTTTTCTTAACATCTACACGATATACTTTAATCTTGAGATTTTCATTCGCGGCGGATTTATTAATATCTCACCAGACGTGGTAAATTCCATTTGACGTGACATTATGGCGACGACGTCGCTGCATTTATCGCATACCAAGTTGAATTCCGTTTTATTGATTTGCGTAAGCAATATCCATCTCTTCGAATCCGGAAATTTTGCAAATCCATAAATCGTTCCGATTGCATCCAATTTATATGCATATTTTACTAGTTTCCACATTTATTACACCGATTCTGCAGGATGCGCAGATATTGTTGACCCTTTCGATGTGAACGCGAATGACCGACGAACGCGCGAAGTCAATGCTTGTTCAGTGGTACATTTAAATATTAATTTACGCTCAGTCGTCGTGGAGTTTTACAGCCGCACATAAATTAATTAATTTGTTATAATTAACTAACAGTTTATTTTATATTTCAGTGAAAACGCATTAGTAAATTCGCATTAGTAAAGGTTACAACTTGCATATTAATATAACTCGTTCTGTTGGAAAAATAATTTCGCTGGAGAAATATTTCTGTAGATGGTTTTATTAATACCAGAAAATTTCTATTTGTATTTCTATTTATATTTCTATAAATTTGTAATCTGAATAATAATTAAAAAAATAACGCCTTTAATTTTCTTCCTCCTTAGTTGATGTAACAGAAGGTACTTGTAATTTTTCGAATTAGTATTTTGCAGAAAATATTGTTTTCAATTTAAACTCTTATTGATTCATTTCAGTCATCTTGTAATGTCGAAAGCGAAAAAACACATAATAAAAATTATGTGCAAAATACATTAAATTAGAAATATTTTTTTAATAAAGAATTTTAACAATCCATAGACTTATAAAATATATTGAAAACTTGTCTTTTGCTTTGTTTATGCTTATAAAATATGCCTAATCAAGAACAAATTTCAATTTTTGAATGTATAGTTATTTATTAATTACTGAAGTAAAAAGAAAGTTCTCAATATATTTTACACGTTTCGTTCGATTGCAAAAGTTCTTTCATTAAAAAATATTGTAATTTATTGTGCAAAAATTTTCATCGTGTGTTTTTACTCTGACGTCATCAATTCAAATGGCCAGCAAGAGCCTCAATTATATCAGTATTTCATCATTTCATCATTTTAAATAAATTTTATCATTTTAATAAATTTTAGATAAATGAAAAAAGGTTTATGTAAACGATATATTACACGATATATTATATCCAATATCATTCTCAAAAATAAATTTTGTTTTTATGAATATTGTAATACAATGATTTTTTTATAACATTAAATATCTCTCGTTTACTCTTTAATTAATTAGTGTCAATTATATTAGAATATTTAACAGGAAATTAAACGGCGATTATCTTTTTAACTTAAGATTTAATATCAAGATATATTTGCGATATATTTATATGAATAATTTAAATGTTCGTTTTCAATACTCTCTTCTCATCGCTATTAAATAATTTAACTTGTAGCTGACTGAATGAAAACGGCAGATTGTTTTGTACTCCTCTTTCTTTGTTTTTTTTTCTCTCTTTTGTATTTTTATTTAATATTTGATAATTTTTATATATATTTTTTATAAATATAGAAAAGAGTAGATGCTATTGATAGAATATTGATAGAATAAAAAGTTTGTAAAATGTGAAGCTGTTGAAAAAAGCATATTAAAAATCAGAAAAGAAATTAAATCAATAATTTATCTATTAATTCCTTGATTTCTTTTATATAAAAATCGAATTACGAAAATTTGAATTTATTAATACGTTCCTCCTCCCAATGTGATAGAAATGTGATATTGTCATATGTAAGAGTCTGTTTGTTTATTTCAATCATCGAATTATATTCGATGCTTCGTGATTGTAAATTCCACGACTAAGACCATTAAGCGGAATTAATTAAACTGATAACATGCAAGTACATAGGTACGTGAATGTAGTAAGGCTTTCCAGACCCTGTGGACCTCACACTATTATCTTCGAACCTCTCGAATTTCCCAAGATAACTATTACGATACAAAATCATATAAAATCGCTTGTAGACTCTTACAATAAAGATTGCGTTATCGAGACATGACATTATACAGTAAAAATCTTATTTTTCTTTGAAGAATTTTGTACTTTAGGTAGGTATTAAATTCTAATACCTTAAGTAATAATAGAGTGAACTTGATTTCTTTAAGATGCAGATGTTAATTTAACTATTGTAAATTATTAATACATAATTATTATATATCGTAATATTAATATAACATTGAATTTCTTAACGATACTCAACACACTTAAATGTTTTTTAATGTTTTATAAATTATTTTTATATACATATATATATATACATATATAAAATTTAAATGGATGTTAATGACATTTTCATACAATTTCAATTGTATTGTGATTTTCATTTATGACATGCCAAATAAATTATTATTTAATGTAATTTATAGATAATTAATGTCTTTGTTATACTTAATATGAGCTATCTTGTAGACTTAATCTATCCTGAATTTACGTGTAATTTGATTCTATCTAATTAATCATATTGACATATCGCCAAGTTGTGTCAGTCCCATATTTGTACTATCGTATAACACGCTGTATCTTGAGAAGATTGACTGCTGTAATTTCCCAAAGTTTCGTCGTAAAAATATCACTGTGGAAAAAGTTTGCGAAAGCGTCCGTCTTCTCTTAGAAGCTTTTTTTAGTCTTCCACTTATCGTAACGTTCTAATCAATCTAATGTCGTATTCTCACATAAGAAATAGTATCATGTTATCAAATAAATTACTGTCGTTAAATTATCACGATTCTTCAATTTTGGAAGAAACTTTCGTTGTTTTAATATTTGAAAATTAAAACATCCAAATGCACTCATTTTTATCAATTGTATATCATTGGATTGTCAACAATGCGATTAAAATTCTCAAGAGACATTGACACATCTCCGGCATAATCTGTTGATTTATTTAACTAAAAGATTGCACGCTTACCTGTCAAATCGCGTGTCAACCTGCTGCATTTGCGGTTGCACTTGTAAATCCTGCTCTCGATCCGATTTTGCTTCCTCTCGATGGCTTTCCTCTTCTTCTTTCTGATTTGTCGTCCTCTCATCTTTCGTATCGCAATTCTCTACTGTAATGTTCCTGTGTTCCACCTATGCAAGAAAATCGTTGGTACATGAATTATTTCCCAATTAATTTCCTGACGCGAATAGAAAATGTAGAGAAGATTAATTGAATTCGTGGTGATTCTTAATTTTAGATTTACATCAAGTTAGTAATTATAATATAAGTTTTATCTGAATACTTGGTATATGCATATATGGAAAATATTTTTGAATAAATTTTCATTTTTTTTATATTTATAATGACGTAAGAAATTCTTATCATATTTTCATATTTCTTTCAATAATTTTTAAGCACTAAAAATTTCTCATGTTTCAATTTTAATGATGCATATTATAAAAAATCAATAGAAAAGAAAACGGAAATACTCATTACATTTTTTTAATATTAAATTTTTTAAATTTTCTAAATTTTCTATATTCTGTAAATTACTAAATTATTAAAATTTTTAATTTAATTTTTGTATACAGAGTGTCCGAATTGTTACCTCTACGAACAAACAGAGCAGATTATACTGAATAGAAAAATCCTTTACCATTTTGCGATTTTCGAATAATTAATGAATTATTAATTTATTTGAAGATCTGTGCGATGCATCTGTGCGAAGATCCAGGACATTATGGTTGCTAGGCAAAGATATTTGGAAGTGTGATCTTGTACAATTGACATATCATCTGTTTATAGTGCATATCTCCAAATTTTGCCTAGTACGCTTAACAACCGTGAGCGTGCATAAAACTGGGCTGTTTGTTTATGCGGACGCACGCGCATTCACAGATTTGTATAAATTAATATCTTATTAATTATTAAAAAAAGTCGTAAAAAATATCATAGAATTTTTCTATCGTAATATTTACCGTGTTGGGATATAGCTCCTTTCCCTGCTCCTCATCGTCGGATTGAATCACGGTGGTTTCCGGTGTGACATGGCTGCCGTTTGTCGCCATCTCTTCGTCCTTTATCGTTTCAGCGTGGCCACAGAGGCCTAACAAGCAATACACGATCACGCACACAACTCTTGTTATTTCGTTCACATGCACATGCACTACGGCTTTGATCGAAGTCTTTCTGTTTGTGTCTCGCTCAGATGGTGTAATACCGCATTTTTTTATCAGAATTGCCCTTTGCTGCTTTCACGGGACATGATTTTGTCCTAGTTCATTCCGTTTGTTTTGTTGAATTTTCTTCATGGCATTCGTTAAATCTAGGAGAATATCAGCGATCTTCGCGTGGCAGGAAATAGGAATATCCTGAATATTCAAATTGATGAAAGGGCACGTGTCAAGGTCATTAGAATTGATCGTTATGTATACACGTTCTGTTACGTAAATTCTTTCGTTAAAGAGAGAGTATTGGATTT